ACCACTCGTTTGGGAACAGTTGAGCCGTAAACATGCACATGGTTTGCGCACAGTTACATTTTGGCCTGACCTTTTAATACCCTCTTAATAAGTAATAAATCGTATCGTACATAAAGTATAAACTCATACTCCAAGTTCATACTCCAAACGTTTAATCTTAATCGACAAATGTATAATCTGATTACGATAAATTGTCACATAGACAGTGGTGTGTGTGCAGTTTTGTGTTGTAACATATATTGTTATAGTACCTATTTCGTGAGCATTCGTTAAAATGGATTTTACAAAAACTGTTACGAATAAAGGTGTTGTGTGTATTTTGTTTAAAGAGCAAAAATATAGAAACTATTCTATATTCTAATATTCTATATAAAAATATTCTTTTAAGACAGCAATTTTCAAATAACTATTTATATAAAATAATATTAGTATAATATAGTATACATATATAATATCATTTTTATAAGATATATCAATTTAGAAAAAACTACTTATATAAAATATTTATTTTGGCGCAAATGATGTCATTTTTAACAGTTAAGAGTTAAGTTAATGAAAAGCCAAAAGTAACTAGTTAAGTTAAAAAGTTAATATAAAATTAACTTATTAACTTAACTTTAACTTTTTAACTTGTTAATGCCCAGTCTTGCATTTTTGCACCTTTGGCGCTTATGTCATATAGCCTTATTTTCGTGTGCGCAAACCAGTTGTACATTTAGGATGACCGTGTGCGCAAATGAGTTCCGATTTTTCAGGTAAAAATTATAAAATGTGCGCTAACAAGTTGCAGCCTAAAATACATACGTCATACTTGTAATTGCAATAATATACTCGAAAATGTTTTTAAAATTAAATATTTTGGCATTATCTTCGATCATAATCTTCAACGGAAATAGTCCATATTTTATTGTATTTGTAATTTGTAGTCTTATTATAAATACTAGCTCTAAGTGTAACTCGGGGCCCGTCTTACTCACTGGGAGTGGGTACCGATTTTGGAGACAATGAATTATAAAAGTCGCAAAGGTTGTAAGACGAAAGTTTAGGATTTGTGATAAGGATTAGTGATATGGATTGGAGATAAGGCTAGACGCTTTGGCGGGAATGTTAAAAGTTTGAGCGTCTAGAAATCCGTCACAAACGTTGTAAATGAATAGACTGGATACGATCTCCAAGATCACCTATATAGAGTATACCTGCACATAGAGTGTTGTGTGCCGTAGCATGACCGGTGCTTTATCTTATGTAAAAAGTGTAAAGTCGAAAACCGTGCAGTTGGAGTTTCTAGCAAGTCAGTCATCTCAAGTTAAAATCTATTAACTTTCAAGTTAGCCACTTAGGTAGGCAATCCGACTTCGTTGGATCGCGGACAATGTGCTACAGCAAATCAGGTAGGCAATCCGCCTGCGGTGGATTGCAGACCCGACGTCAAGCGGCTATAAGTGAAAACCCTATCACACAACTTACGAAATAATTTACGAAAAATTCAAACTATATACAATATACATACAAGATACAAACAAATATGATATGTATTTATTGTGTGATATAATATAACAATGAACATTTTGAGAAATGTGCAATTATAATTCTTAAAAAAAATTAACATATAGGTAGATAGTTAGATACATACTATTATATTAACCAATACAATACATATAAACATGTACCTAGCTATAGTGTATATATATTAATTTAAAAAAAAAATACAAAAACCTGCATGTTAAAGTGTCTATCAAGTCAATCATTACCGTTTAAGACGAAACTAAAATGAGCAATCCGTCTATCACCTATATGTAGTACTGTAGTAGGTTGTAGGTATATCACATAGAGTGGCATGTGCCTTCGCATGTCCGGTGCCTTTTCTTATGTAAAAAGTGTAAAGTCCAAAACCGTGTTGGAGTGTCTAGCAAGTCAGTCATCTCAAGTCAAAATCAAGATTAACTTTCAAGTTAGCCACCTAGGTAGGTAATCCGAAATAAAATACAAACTATATTTATATAACAATCATGGAAATTTTAAAAATATGCAATTATAATAATTCCTAATAAAACAAATATAATATGTACCTATTTATTGTGTGATATAATATGACAATGACTTTAAATAATAATAATGCACAATAATATGTTCCTGTATTATTATAATATTATTCTTTAATTTATATGAAAAATATAGTGAAAAAAAAATGCAAAAAAAGCCGGGTTTCGGGAGGCCGTGTAAACCATATGGCAACGACAGTTTCAACGCCCAGCGAGCGTACGACGGATTCGAACCCAGTCTTACAAGTCCCGGTTTAAGGAAAAAATTAAAAATCTTTAATTTCTACAATTTTTTTGAATAATAATTTTTGAAGTTCGCTCAGCAATCCTTCCACCGAAAAATTTAAAAAGGTAAAATATGTATTAAAAATCCTGTGGCCAACACCTTATAGCTCAAAAAAAGTATCATTATTCATTTTTCTATTTTTTTAACGTATATACAATATACTATATTACCAATTACCTACCTAAATAAATTGTAAAGTCCAGTTTCAGGCATCAAAATAAGCTCCTTCTAGTCCTTCTATGGTTCTATAGTCTATACTAAAAATTCTATGTAACTGAAACGTATATTTTTTAAAAACTATTTTCAATGAGTTTCCAGGTTTTCTATATATTATAGTAACTAGTATTTTCAAAATTTTTTTTATTGCAAAATTGTTAATCAACAGCCCTAAACTATTTAGATTAGTTTTAAAATTCACTCAGAAATCCTCCCGCCGAAAAATAAAAATGAAAATATGTATTAAAAAAGATTTCAACAACTGTCACCAGCCACCGAAAGGTCGTATTTACATAAATTGAGCTCATTTTACTTAAAATTGTATGTAATAAAAACGCCTTTTTAAAAATTATTATCAATCCATTTTCTAATTAATAGTTAAAATTGGTATTTTCGAAATAATTGTTTTATTGCAAAATTGTTAATCAACTAGTATCATACTATTTATTTTCAATATAATAATATATAATATAATATATGAATATTACACATAATATAACATATAATATATTACACATATAAGTATATAACACAACCAACAAACAACCAACAAACTAAGTATTAGACCATTAGTACTAGGAACGCATGTGGTACTCCTCGCCGCCGAGATACGCGACCGAGACTGTGGCAAGTGAAAACCGCTACGCAGAGAACGGCTCCTTCTGCATGAGACCCTGGTACCATAAACGCGGTTTTCGCTCCGTCAACCGTCGATCCGCGGTCACTTGACTTCGCGGTCCCTTTGCTGGTTTACCGACACGATCGCCCAACGCGATCGCCTAACGCGGTTCGCTGCCACCGTTCAACCGCGCGCCCGCGTCGACCTCGACCGCCTTCGGGCACTCTGGCTCCGTAAGACGTGTGCATGCTGTAATAATAATTTATTATTTTATGATAATTGTTTAAGTTTTTACCAAATATATAATTTAATCACTCGCTAAGACTAAGCAATTTGCAATATTATGACTATATTTCGATATAATTGGCAATCTACAACTGATGAACTATCTTATAAATTATATAAGCCACATACAAATAAATGGACGAATAGTCGAATAGTCGAATAGTCGATAGAACTATAGAAGGCTGAATCGTTGTGAAGTGTAAAAATATCGTGTTAGCTGTTTGCTGTTATATTTCTTATATTACTTATATTACTTATATTATTATTATTATTATTATTACATAATTTACATTATACATTTACATCGCAATTCGCAATAAACGAAAAACTGCAAATGTCTGCAATACAAATATAAATATCTGGGGCTTGGGTCAAAAAGGGAAAATCTCACTTTTTGTCGAAAATGAGTTGTATAAAAATAATCTTATAAAACTTTATACGCTTTTTCTAGTGGTAAAAGGACGTATCTCAATAATCATTAGTGCGAGATTTGAGAAGGCCAATTTTTCTTTTATGTCAACATAATAAAGCAATTACTAAAAAAAAAAAAAATAAAAAAAAAATATAATATGTCGTTCTTACATGTAGGTATAGAACGTAATTACTGTGTAAAATAAAATTCTATTTTTATCGTTGAAGTGTGCAAATTAAATAATATAAAAATTTGAAAATATCAATCAAATAACGTACATATTTTATACTAACAGCTGTAAGTCGGGTGTATGTTAATTAATTCTTTTGAAATTCTGGTTTAAGCGTCAGAAAATATTGTAACGATAAATTATTGATAAAATAAACCAATACATTTTTAGTTTAAAAAATAGTACTTTTGGCACGCTAAATTTGTGTTTCATCCCACTGTGCAGCGCTAGTAATGCTAAAAGGAAAATATACCCCCGAACACCGCCTGTTGTACTCACGATTAAAGATATATCTTTAATCGTGTGTCCTATCCTTAGATCATATACTAGTATATGATCTAAGGTCCTATCCATATCTTTATTATCTATGGAACTTGTCCTGATAACACTACATATTTTACGTGATATAAATAAAATATTCTGATAGCGATTATTGGGGCCGGAGGTTGTTTTTTTCTCACTGTTTATTTACTTTTTAGTTTTTCACTGCTCAGTCGGGCTTAGGCACATTTTTTGTTATCATACTCATAGACATTATTTGAGATTTGTTTTTCTTTCTGATTTTACTTGTGAGTTACAGAGGCTCGATTTACATAAATCACACTCTCCTAGGTGTCTGTTAGTTAATATAAAATGGAACGCGGACAGAAAACGAAGAGGAAAAAAAACTACGTTTGATTCGCAGGTAAGACCTCGACGACAATGAAAAATAACGGGGAGTAACTGTTTGAGTGTAAAAATCCAATTTTCTTCCATCCGTACAAGGGTCAAATGTACTCGGATTTCTAATTGTAACCCCTTCTACGGTTTCAAACTTACAAAGAATACTTGCCTACGGTACTCTACCTTATCTACTTGAATAATTTATTGTTTATTTGATCGTAGCGCTCCACTAGTTGGCCTTGTCTGGAATGGATAGATTGCAAACATGGTTTGTCCGCAAGGACAAACTAAGCCTACCATTGTGGCGGACCATGTCGACAAAATGTTACATGGCGTTCAGTGCCCTCAGTGCTGGAGCCACGGTCATCACATTTTTTTTGATATACTGGTTCTGTGGTGGATTACTGGCACTATCGTTTCTGCTCATGAGTATTGTCGGTAAGTAAATGCATTCTATTAATTGTTGACTACTGTACACACCAGTATTGTGTAACAGCATAATTGTTTAAAATAAAATAAGAATTTTAATATTTTATTTTATCATCAGGGTTTGTTTACCATTCAGAAGACTACTTATTATATTATCCAGATCTGCCTGATCACTCTCGTATTTTTGTACCACAGCCATCGATGTATGGTCTGCCATATGAAAACATATTCATCAAAAGTTTAGATGGCACACGTTTACACTTATTCTTGATAAAACAACCAGGAGATTTTTCTAAGATGGTGCCAACTATTTTATTCTTGCACGGGAATGCAGGAAACATGGGCCATAGGTATGAAAAATATTTTACTCAAGTATTTTGGTTTTAAAAATATTATAAAATGTCTTTGTAGATTAACCAATGTAGTGGGCTTCTATAATGAGCTGAGATGCAACATCGTAATGTTGGAATATCGTGGGTATGGATTGTCACAAGGATCACCTTCAGAAAGAGGTTTCTACATGGATGCAAGTGCTGCAATAGACTTTATTTTAACTCGTAATGATCTAAATCTTGGTCGAATTATAGTATTTGGACGTTCGTTGGGTAAACCATTTTTTTTTTTTTGTGAGTATTTTTTCAATGATTTACAAATATTTAATCATGGATATTGTTTTATAGGTGGTGCAGTCGCCATTGATTTAGCTGCTCGGTTAGAATACACCCAAAAAATCTGGTGTGTTATTGTTGAGAATACATTTACATGTATACCAGATATGGCAACAGAAATTATGTCTTCTGAACTTTTGAAATACATCCCTCTATTTTTGTACAAAAATAAGGTAATTTTAATGAAATATTAAAAAAATCATCTAATTTTTAATCTCTTATTTTTTTCTTCTTTATCTAAGTATATGTCCAATTGGAAAATGGGCAAACTACAAGTACCAATATTGTTTGTTTCGGGCGAAGAAGATACATTAGTTCCTCCATCAATGATGACAAATTTATTTGATGCTTATTGTGGCCCTTTAAAACAGATTGTAAGGTTTAGAAGAGGTTCGCATAATACGACATGGAACTGTCCTGGTTATTATCGGAAGATTAGAAAATTTTTAAAAATCACAGCAAAACACAGACCTACTGCTGAAGATCTCCACTGTGTCATCAAAATTGTTTGACATTGATTGTATTAGTTCCTAAACATGATTAAAAACAATGATATAGTTAATACAAAAGAGTAGATTATTGAAAAAAAAATAGTAACATAATTTTTTCAATATTAATTTTTACATAAATGCACATAATTTTAAAAAATTTCCGGAATTGTATATTATTACTAAATGCCTGGAATTTTTTTAAATCTTTATTATTATTTATGAATATATATAATATTGAGTTTCTCTACTTGTTTGTCATACTTAATATTTTTTTTAATTTAATATTTATGTAAGTGTTAGTCTACTATATTATATTACACCAAGAAGTAACTTTATATGCTTTCAATATTATGCATTATCAATGCCGGTATTTTTGTTTAATAAAATTGAATAATTTTTTACTTTTAACATAACATATTAAATGATTGTCTTATATACATTATCCGAACAATAATAATTATAGATACAGTTTTTTTTTTATTACTTTTATAGGCAGAGTTTCTTCCTATATTTTTGTATTTTAAATAAAATGAATGCATGTAATTTTACAGATAATTAAATTAAATTATTTAAATTATTTTTTCCAATTTGATTCTAATGGTTGAAACTTCCCAAAACATTTTTCCTGAGAAAAACCTTATGGTTGAACTGCTACTATACTCTATTCAAATTAAGAAGCACAGTCTGCGGCATCCAGTTATTGCAGTGGCATTCAGGCAACACCCGTTGGTTTTTTATCTATCCTCCCCCTCCCACAAGTCAACTACCTATATAACTTCCGTGTAGTATCGCCATACCGCTGAGCCAAGTCAGCTGCCAACTGTATTTCCTAACTTGAATAGAGTATAGTAGAATCTAGGTTATTTGAGTAGCAAGTAAACTTTGCATAATATAGGAATTCATTATATTATTTTAGCTTTTTAATTATGACACAAATTTTTTGATTGATAAAAATTTAAAATTAAGAATTTATATTTAATATTATTTGTCAATATGTGTATCATATTATTATGTTCAGGTTGTAATGTGTTAATTGAGATTTTGCATCTATATTATGATTTACTGTCAGTTATGCTATGATATAAATATCTTCCGACATAAGTAATTTTTCATAACTCATAACACATATATTGCAACCTATGTAAAAGTAATAAATTAAATAATTTATTTGTGCTTTAAAATCACATCCATTCTAAAATTCCATATATATTTAAATTTAATTCAAACTATGTTTAGTGTGTAAACTTCTATTGTATAACAATTTTTCTATAAGTTCAAGAATAGAGTTTAGGTATCTACCACCTAGATGATAAAAAAAAGATTTTTTTAAACTGTAAAGAATAGAATTAGTTAAGGCGCTAAGGTATAAGCAAATACATTTAAGAATCATTGCCATTTTCTGGTGTTTGTGAGCATAAGGTGGCTTAAATCATAATATAATATTGAAAAATTCCAATTATTATGAATTATTAATAATAATGTATAAATTGTACATTTATACAACATTAAGAGGACACTTCACCATGGATATAAAGAATAATAATTATTGTATTAAGAGGACACTTCACCATGGATATAAAGAATAATAATTATAATATTATATAGGTAATTCTTTAATATCTATACGCTTCGACCGCACGCAATGTCTCCGACTTACAAACGTTATAATAGCAAATATTACGTTCTGAATAATCTATTAACTTTGTTATGATTAATATTGGATCGAATATGTAACACAATAAACTATAAGATACACAAGTCATGCATATAAGTCGTAATTTTATCACTTACAAGTTACAAACAGGGGGGGGGATAGATCCCCCCCCAAAACTTTTTTACTGCTAATATTTTGATCAAAGTATCGTTAATGATCATTCATGTTTACTAAAAACGTACATCCCCCCCCCAATTCCTAATCACGCCACTGCTTACAAAATATGACTTATTATATAACAGTTCATTATCTAAAACACTGAATATTTATTTCAAAAACCTAAGGGCTAAGATAGGTACCTAATATTATAATAAATATTAATTCCCATATTATTGTGATACACACAGTACATAAGTTTACTTGATACGCAAACCACCGAGGCGCTACCGAAGGCGTGAATGACCTTGAGGTTTATCTCTTTTATCCTCACTCTTCATGGTTTGACTTTGAAGACCTGAAGTTTCTAGATAAAAGTCATATAGATATAATACAGACTACAGAGTGATTCATTTGTTAATAATTACATTATGAATATTCATAATTCATTACCTATAGCCATTACTTATGACCTACCTACCTTCCTATAATTAGTAAATTAACAATTTGTTCGCTGATAATTATAGAGCTTGAATTTCATAATACATTGATCTACATAAAACTAATAACTAGAAACTGGTAAACATTTTATTCTCACAAACCTTAATACCTATTACCTAGTCAAAAAAGTAACCAAATTTTGAATAGGTATTTCATTCTACATTTCTACCTATGCAAAGAGTCAAACATTGAATTATAAAAGTGCACTGTTCGCACTGCAAGAAGGAAGTAGACGTTCATAATATATATAGTAAGTCGTGGACTTACCTATATGTTATGTAATTGGATGGACAATGATTACCTAATATCTACTGTTCTATGCTAATATCAATCTTAAAATTCAAATTATTTTTTGTACTACTGTACCTATGGGTCAACCCGCTAAATCATGCATTCATGCAGTACCTATATGGTTTTTGAAAATCATCCTGTATATATGCTTATGAGGTATGACAGTTGGCAGGTAATACTACTATTGTTTGAATAAATAAAGCTTTATCGTTGTTCAACTTAAACGACTTAAACATTGAAATATAAAATAATATCGGAACACAATATTGTTACCATTAACCATTGTGAGTTTCTATTCTTAACTTTAAAAGTTTAAACTAGTAATATTATTTTAAATTTGCTGTTTTTGTTTTTTTGTCATATTAACAATCATTATAAATACTAGTTATGAATATATAATAACTATCAATGATACCTACCTATTTGTTAATAAGACACTGTTAATATTTACCCATCGGCTACATTACAATATTACCTGCATAATACATACTGACATATTGGCGCGTCTCGCACTTACGTTCTATAGATACGTGACTCGAAAAAAAATATTAAAAACTCATTTTTTGTCTCACAAAAAGTCAAGCTGCAGAAAATATTAATCCAACTCATTGTGTAATATAATATATTATATCGCAGTCATCGTGTGTACATTAAAATGGACCAGTGGAGAGGTGAAAACGCGGTCGTCACAGGTGCCGGATCGGGCATAGGAGCGGCTACGACATTAGAGCTGCTGCGACACGGTGTAAACGTAGTCGGGTTGGACATCCAGTCGGCAAGACTTGAGGTAGTTCTATTTAATTATTTTTAATGCAAAAACAAGGTTTATAAGCTACTGCAGACTAAATTTTACAACGGATATAGCTATATACCTAGCTATAGCTATAGCTATAGCTTATATGACTATAATAGTACAATAAATTCCCCATCATAGACCATAGTATATCATCGTATGTAGGTATAACATCAAAAGTTATTTGTTACTATATATAGGGCTATATTTTCTGAAAATTATTGGATACTTTCAACTTTGACGACCCTATAAATTATAATCTAAAGTCTAGCTAAATAGCCAATAGGTAAAGGCAAATAGCTAGTGGTACAGGTTAGTCGTTCCAACAAATCACCAATCGGAAAATATCGGAGAATAAAACCTGATGTAGCGGAATATTGGGATTTGGGAGAATTTAAAATGTAATCATATTATATTGTAATATATTTAATTATAATAAATAAATAAAAATTTAAAATCATACGTGTCCTGACTGACTCACTGACTGGTCTACGTAGTTTTGAACACCTTTACCTACACCGAATATTAAATAACGAATTTAATAAAGTTTAAATCAAATAGAGTTGGCCTTTTTAACGGGCAAGAAATATTTGGAACGATCAACGCCGGAGGGACAGCTAGTAGTTAGTACATACAGGGTGTCCCGTGAGGATTTACTCATTAGCCGTAGAGGGGGACTCGCCGCCCGGACAAAAACCAGTTTATTGACGTTTTACTAATAAACTAAAAAAATTATTAAAAATCATGAGATTAATGAAAATAAAATGTTAAAAGCTCAAAATGTTCACAAAAATATACTCTATAGAATGGCTATCTTCAATTTTTTCAAAAATAAAAAAATAAAAAAATTATTTTTTTAACTTTTTTACTAAAAAATTTAATTTAATTAAAAAATAAAATATTTGTAGTGCTTACCTCTGCGAGTCTTAATAAAAAAACATAATTACGATATCTCCATTATTTCAGGAGATATCACAATGAGTAAATCCTCACGGGACACCCTGTATATAGAAGTGCAGTAAATTAGAAATATTTTTTGTAAAAGTATCCAAATATTAATAAAAATAAATACAAACGTTAAAACCATTGAGGCGGTTACACACCTATCGTTTTTCGGCGGAGCGTTCAAAACACTCAAAATTAAACGAACGCGTTTCGATGCGTTTAGACGCGTGGTTCTTTCCTGGTGTGAATATGAATGCCTATAATGCCTATATGTTTAATTTAGAAACACTGCTTGCAACCACCTCAACAATTATATAACTTAACAATATATTAAATAATAATAGCTAGTATCTACCAATATAATATAAATAATACATAATACCTACCACCTATACGTATTAACCTATGTCATACGACATTACAAATTACAATTATTAATAATATTAATATACACGTAATATTGGTTACCCACATAGAAACTCGAAAATTCGTTAGAAGACGACACGAAAACTCCTACAACGATCCCAGACGGCATCCGGCGAGGAATTTTCTATCCTAAGACCTGCGACATCACCGACGAACGAGCAGTACAGGATGTGTTTGGCTGGGTGGATGCAGAGCTCGGTGGCGTCAGCGTGTTGGTCAACAACGCTGGCATCATAATGCGAAGCAGTCTGTTGGGCGAGTACCATATAAATATATAAAATACATATAACAGGCGTGTCCAGGTGGCCTGCCAATGGCCAAACCACCGAATTTAATTCACCTTAATGGTATCTATTTTTATCGAGATGGCACATGTGAAACAAAAATAAAAACAAATAATAACTGTATTGATTATTGGGATTTCGATAACGTATTCAATACATTTTAACATCATTTCTGTGTAAAAAAAAATTGATTTTTCAACTCTTTTATAAATATAAAACAGCTTTTGATTAATATAATTTTAATCAGTGTAACAAAAAATCTTACTTGAATCTTCAAATGTTTTAATTGTATCTCCAATTGAAAAACAAACACTGTTTTCACAATCCATAGTTGCATTATTTGGTGTTGAATTTATATATTTTTGATTTTGAGCGGAGCAATGAAAATATTTGATTTTGCAATGATGTATGTAATTTTTTTTTGTGCCTGTCAATTGTCATCCTTTTATGACAGTAAAAGTGTTTAGATTTTCTTTAACTGTATCTTTTCTGATAGGAAAGTGAATCTAGTTGGTACTTTGGTGGGGTCCAGTGGCGTATTTAGTATTTTTTGTAGGGGGCAGATGACAAGAATTTTAGCTTACAGATTACCATGTAATAATTATAATATAATGTATAATAATGTATTTAAAGAGCCATGGGTGAGGACTTGTCCTCATATCCGCCCCCTTAAATACGCCCCTTGTGGGGTCAAAAGTAAAAATTTCCAGTAGGTCGAGGTCGACGTGGGCGCGCGGTTGAACAGTGGCAGCGAAACGCGTTAGGCGATCGCGTCGGGCGGTAAGCAGCAAAGCGACAGTGACCGCGGATCGACGGTTGACGGATCGAAAACCGCGTTTATGGTACCAGGGTCTAATGCAGAAGGAGCCGTTCTCTGCGTCGCGGTCGTCACGGTCCTCGTTCGTGTGTCTCGTGGACATTTTTTAGTTTTTTTTTCTAAATTTCCTAATATATTGTTATAGCAGATAAAAAATATTAAAAATACATAGGAACGTTTTTTTATATTCGAATTTCGACGAGATTTATCAAATTGAAAATTTTCAAATTATTCAGTAAGTAGTTAAAATATATAATATGTTCAACTTTTATAGCTAAGCATCATTGAAAATTTAAAACGAGGATCTACGTAAATAGGTAAATTACTTTATTCACATATATATATTAATATCATATAGGCTGACTGACAGTCTTCGCTACGAATCGTTTTTCTTTACAATGATATCATTGAACTCAAATTTAGTACAATACTACAATCCATTAAAGTGACCACTTGTAACCTACTTTACAGCAGACCGACACCCACCTTTTAGATTCTGATCGGAGCGATGAATGTATTGGTTTTACAATGATGTGTGGTTTTTTTTATATTTTTATATTTTTTTATTTTTGTGTCTGTCATCACGTTTTAGGACAGTAAAAGTGCTTGGATTTTCTTCATCAGTAGCTTTTCTGATAGGAAAGTGAATCTAGTTGGTACTTTGGGGGGTCAAAATTTCCCAGTAGTTTTCACAAGCGCCGGGAAAAACAACATAAAAATTAAGGAAAAACGGGAATTTTTACGCAAAAATTGGTTTTCCAAAAAATCGATTTTGGTTATTGGTGTAACTCTAAAACAAATGAACGTATATACATGAAATTTTCACTGGTTGTTTATATTTGCATTTTCTATACACGATAACATTTTCAAAATATTTTGATTTATTTTGAACTGTTTAGAGACATTTTCATTTTTCATTATTTTTTAGTTTATTTTCTAGAAATATCGATAAAATTTTATTTGTTGGTTAAAAAAACTTGAAAATTTAATAGAAGGCTCCTAGTATATTGTTTAAAAGGCAGATGAAAAATATTAAAAATCGTTAGTCACAGTTTTTTTTTTTATAAGCATTTAAAGTTCAAAAATTGACAAAATATGGAAAAATCACGAAAATTAGCAAATTATTTTGAGTTAAGAATTCGTAAAAATTTTTCTTTTTAAATCTAAGATTTGAAAATGAAACACAAGATTCCTTATAAGATTATCTACCTTTATCAATAAAAAAATCTCTACCGGACAGTCAAATTAAATTTTTATGAGCGTTTGAAATTCAAATTTTTACAACATTGGATATTCACTCGATTACTCATGTAGCGATTTCTTTATTTTGTTGCAATTCAAAAACGAACAACTGTAGATACATGAAAATTTCACTGAATGTTTAAATTAGCATTTTCTATACACCATACAATTTTGAAAATATTTTGAATCTTTTTGAGCTGTTTATGGACATTTACAGCTTTCAATTTTTTTAGTTTTTTTTTCTATAAATATCAATAAAGTTTTATCTGTTGGGCCAAAAAGTGTAAAAATTTAATACAAGGCTCCTGATATATTGTTACAATATCAGTTGAAAAATATTAAAAATACAAAGCACAGTTTTTTTTTATAAGCATTTAAAGATCAAATTTTGACAAAATTTATCAAAATCTCGATAATTATCAATCATTGTAATTAATAAATTATAAAATGTTCAGTTTTTATAGCTAAGGATTGCAAATTCAACACAAAGGTTCTAGTAAATAGTTTATACTGTAACCAAAAAATCTAAAAAAATATATGAACACAGTTATTTTTTACAGACATTTTAAATTCAAATTTGGACGAAATTACATATTAAAAAACCTAGAATAACTATTTTAGTTATTTTGTTGTGATTGAATAATATTATTCGTGGGTACTTGAAACTTCTAAAGTGTACTATTATATATCTATGATAGTATCACGGTTTTTGTTGATGTATAACGCGTTATAAGTATCTAATGGATATTGTGATATGATTAATTTGGAATTTATTATAGGTACCTATTATAGGTCAATTTTTTGTTTAATACCATAGATATGTATATAATATGTCTTATACATAGACTGACATACCGTCTCCGCACAGAATCGTTTTTCTTATACAATAATATTATATCGTTGAATTCAAATTTAATATCATCCATTATACAGTGGTCAGTGACCCACTTGTAATCTACTGTACAGCAGAGCGACATCCACTTACCCACCTTTTTTCTCTTGTTTTTAATTTTTCTTTCCCAAATTTCATCTTTTTAAGCTTACATTCTGAAATAGAAAATGCGATCACAGCCGTAAGATTTATCTCATCGATTTACTTTCATCGAAAGGAAAATGACATGTATTTTTGCTCCAAATGCTATGTATTTATTCATTATTATATGTTTTTTTAGCTTCATCTTCTGCATCTCAATGTCTACCTTTCACTTATTTTATTATAAATTCATCAGTACAAATGGTTTCTATAGCAATTACCACATAATTGTAAGAATAGTGAGTTAATAGAGTCCGAGTGACAAACAATATAATTTTCTTCCATTTTTGCTGTTGTATACTTCTGTTCAAATATATACGATATTAACTTCAATCATATATCAATTGCAGCCGTCCGTATACAAATCGAATGGGGGAATCATTATATTATCTATACCTATATAATTAGTTGCGCCCACGATTAAAGGTATATTAAAGGTGTACCATAATCGTGGTTGCTCTACTAATAGTTAGGTGTAATATATAGTTGTTACATATACTATAGTATACAGCCAGACAGCCTATTATAAATATACACAACTGTAATCAAGTATGGTTTTTTTTTAAATTGTACTAACGACATTTTATGTTTTTGTAAACCGCTATAATCTATATTGGACTAAGCAGACGGTACGTTGAAAGATTGGAAATTTTTAATGAATATCAATGTATTGGCGCAATGCGTGTGTTCGAGAGAAGCTTACCGATCGATTTCCAAGAACAATAGTATTCTTTACGGACACATTGTTCAAATAAACAGGTAAATCCAATGAAATTATTTAACAACAAAAATGTAGTGAGAACAAAATGTTTTGTCACGTGATAATCCAATAATCGTTATAATTAGGGTTGAGGACTTCTAGTTTTTTCATATTTTTCTAGAAAGGTTGCAGAATAATGCGAGTAATGTATAAATATGTTTCATATTAATAGTATAAATTAGTTACACTGAACATTTTATTTTGTATATTTTTCCATATTTTGTCGTTATTGCATATAAACGCATATTTGAGCGATTTAGAAAAAATGAGTACATATTATATTTGACCAGTTTTCGATCTAATAAAGTTAGTTTGGTTTGGACAAATAAGAAATTTTATTTTTATATAATATTTTATTTTGAAAAAATGTAAAGTGTAAAATATTGGTCTTTTGACAAATTAAATTATTATGTATACATTTGGAAAATTGAATATTTAAAAATATAATAGTATACTACACTAAAAGTAACATATCGGTCCGTTATCTGGCCGATAACACTTCAACGAGTGTAGCAGGTAGTGTTGAATGTTAATTGCTAATAAGTAATTTTTCATGTTTTATAAATTAAATAATAAAACTATCTTTTTATATTTTTGTTTTCATATTAATTGTATAATTTAAGTACTAAAAGTCATATTATAAACTTTTTAGAGCATATTTTAAGTGCATATAACTTATAATAGTGCATACATGTTTTCAGGTTTATAAGCACTAGAAATCCTCAGCTATACCTATAATATCATAATATACCTACTCATATATATATATATGACTTTAGTCATATGGTATGATCTTATATAAGTAATAATATGCAATTCAGATAATACAGTTTATTAGGTAGGTATCTAAGTATAAAATAACCATATCGGCTATACCTGCAGGAGTGCAAGCCAGTGTCGATCAACATAATTATCGAGAAAATAATGAACTCAGTTTTGACCTTTTGTTCGCATTATATTGATAAACGCGTCTCGCGAGTATTATAACGATAATGCGTATTATTATGTTTAATCATATATGCCTATAATAATAATAATAATAATATGTCGTTATATCCATAGTATTGGCGGTCATTCCATCACTCCGTATTACGCGCACAAAATGTACAACGCTTCTAAAACGGCCATCACGGTGTTGTGTGAAGGTCTTCGGCACGAAATTAGTCTTGTAAATTCAAAGATCAAAGTATCGGTGAGTTCTGTGATGTACTAACAGCAGGTTGCATCTATTTAAGTATTTACCCATATACCACGTGTCGGTGAAACAGGGTACCTACACTGTATAATTAAATTATCCATATTGTTCTACAGTACCCTTATGTACCTACATATTTTTGAATTCTGTTTACGGAACATGAAACTAGACTATTGGATCATCAAACTCCCACAAGGCCTGAGTACTGATCGAGTAATGTAGGTAACTGAGTAATAGAGTGTACCCAGTTTTTGAGGACACGCCTCGCCGCGTTGTATACATATTTGAAAACCCAGTACCTTATTAAACACGACATTGTTTTTAAAATTTTAATTTTTTCTATTGGTTCTGTGTCGGAATAAAAAAAAAATCTAGTTTTACAAATACAAATATAATATAGGATTATAATTTATAATGATATTATTGTTGTTATACCTACATACTTGTACCTACCCACATATTTGATATTATGAATATTATTACATACGAACCTCCGTGATTGTGCAATAGTTAAAGTTAACTATATAATATTACCTATATATGATAATTCCATATTTCCATGGCTATAATAGATAATATAATTATGCTTGTGTGGCGATTATTGTCAATTTGACACCGAATGATTAGATAGGTAGGTATTCTAATATATTATTATATTAATTAGTAATTAGTATGTCTTAATTCGTGATCCTTAATAAAGCAGTGAAAATGTTTTTTTTTTAATTTGACAAAAACCTGATCACTTCCGATTTGTGAGACAGATAATCTACTGATCTGAAATACTTAATCGTGCCAATAATTTGATGTTCCTATTACCGCCGTACTCGTTCTTCGGTCCCTGTTCGCTGTGGCACCGAACTAAATTTAATTTAATTTTTTTTTGGAGGTGTTGTAATAGAATTCAAAAAGTACCAAACCACACAAGCAACTAAAACAGTGACTTGGGGGATTTCTTCCTCCGATGTATGGACCTAACCAAGTCGACCATCACATGACAATTAATTCAACCTACTGTATTACCAAACAATCTAGCGAAACCACAGCCGCCCTGCTGTGGTTTCGTTAACCGACGACGGTCGGTACAGATTGCGTCCACGGGTTGCGGATAGTGGAACGCCCGGTTCCACCGGGATTCGTCTCGGGTCGGGTAGCGTGTTAATAACTAACGACACGCCGCAGACAGCTCCGATCAAATGACTCGTAGTCCCGGGCGGCATATTAACATTCTATACATTGTTTCACAACCGGGGTATCCTGATTGGCCGAATTTAAATTGCCCGCTATTTTTCCAAACAATTAAAATAATAATAATAATAATAATCAAAAAAATTATATATGATAATTTATTATCATTATATTGCGCGCCAAAAATGGATTTTTATATTTGGATCTTTATAATTAGCATATAGGTATACTACATAAGGAGTAATAGTGTCTTGTATTTTGACTAAAAATCGTGCATAGGTATTGATGTTTGTAGTAGGTATTTGTTATTATCTTTCTATAAAATATAAATTATCAATAAGTATTGTCGGTTCTTTATATTATACCTTTTTTTAATTTACATTTTTAAAATATGTATCCTCAATCATTTACTAATAAAGTAAAAGAGGAGAAAGTAAATTATGTAGAAGTTCGAAGTAATTTAAATTCAGTTGATGATATTAAGCAGTGGGTGAATGAGTATGGAACTTTAACAAATACTCATTGGGTAGCAAGAAGCTCTATTCCAACAGGGACTAAAATTTTGTGTTCGTAAGTCAATAGAAACAATTATTAAGAAAAATATTTAATAAATTGTATTAGGTACGTGTAGGTAGTATTAGTAATAGTAATGCATGATACCAATTATAGTTATATAAGTAACACTGTCCAAGATTGTATAATGTACCTTTTATGTCCTATAAAATATAAATTAGAAACAGAATTCAAATTAGAATATTATATACATGTTTATGGCATTTATCCAGTCACAATGGTTATTGCTCAATGACTATATATTCTTATACAACACAAATTGTCTCAAACATGCTCATAAAACACTGAATATCTTCTGTACATAATATACTAAATACTCAACCAATATCAGTCAATTTATCAACATTTGTAAATAAATTAGTAATCAACATCAATTTTATATGAAATTAGATTTTTACGTAGGTAACTAATTAGAACGCACAATATTATAATATCTCAATGATACAATAAAACTGAAACATTGTTATTTTATTGTTTTGTTACTTGTTAACTATAACAGGATGCAGGACATGAGCAAACCTATTTAGGTATTACCTTTTATTACACATTACTACCTATACAACCTAATACACATTTATATTGGTTTCTTGTGTAATATGCATATCAGAACATTTTAAAAATACATTATTTATTACTATTACTGTTACACTATAGTTAAATATTTTCAAATTCATTCCATTTTATTATTTTAACTATAAGTTACACAACATAATGAAGTATAGGTATTAAAATAAGTAGACAAGTAGTCAATGGTATATTATACAATAGTTGCACAACATAATATATTAACTTATTCAAATTTCTGTATACTATATTATTTTCCTATATGCATTTTTTACTTTGAAAAATAATAATAAATTATAATTTAAATAATATTTATCATAGAAAAAAGTATGTATGTCACCATAGTGGTTTCCAAAAGGTTTCTAAAGAAGAAAATAAGAAGGGAAACTCAAAAAATGCTATGTGTCAAGCGTATATATTATGTAGCATTAAACTTAGTACGCCATGGACAAAAAAAACAGATAGTTATGTTAAGGTAAGACTTTGTTTAGAGTTAAATTAATAACAGCATTATTTTTGTCTAGCGGGTTGTACACCAGTCTGTACAGAGTACAGACCTTTGGGAAAAGTGGGCCAGTAGTGTTTTAGGATACTTTTAGGGAGAGTTAAAAAATGTGTTAAGTAATATTTTTTTAGTCTTTGACATATTGAACACATTTCCCATAAAGTAGGTAACAATTAAATATATACTTTAGGTATTAAATATCACACCAAATACTTCTATTAAATATTTATATTAAAGCTGTAACGCCTGTAACTATTAAATTATAACCATATTTTGTGCAACAACATTAATAAAATTGAATTTTATTAAATATGCATCCTCCTCTCTCATTCACTAATAAAGTAAAAGAGGAAAATAAATTTAACCTTATAGGCTATAAGCCCATATTGTAATTCAAGTTATGTTACTGTCTAGTTATACACTTAAACATTAAATGTGTATTATAATTTGTAAACCATGTTTTAGCATTATTTTATTACTTACCTTTTTTAAGTACAAGGGGTTATATGAGATGTAAAACAAATTAGGAATAGCACAACTTTATATTATTTTTAGAGTTCTTCTACTATTTTATCCCAATTCAACCATAGAAGTGTAACTTAATTATGAATAATCAATATAGTTTCATATTTCACGTTAAGATCTAAAACAATGTAGAATATATAATATTTTATGTATATAATATTGTACCAAGGTAGGTACCTAAATTAATATGTTTGTGTATTATAATTGGTTGCCTATATGACTAATTGTTGATATCTATTGTAGGTACATATAAATTTCCTAAAGTAAAGTTCAAAGTTTAAAGTACATAGGTAAATAATTTTGATTGAGTAAAATTAGTAACTTTTCATAATAAAAATTAGATTAAATTTATTATATCAAAAAAATTTCCTCCGCTATTTCCTATTACATATTATAAGTGGACATATTCTTAAGTTAACTTTTTTATAAGGTACTAACTGTTAGTTAATTTACTGAATTATTTAATTTTTTTTTTTTTAAAGTGCCAGTTATACAGATAATGTTTGTCTTATATTAATGTCCACGCCCATGTGACTTTGCATTTGGAAAATTATTTTTGATATTGTGTACTAGATTTCTCTTTCTTTTATTTATTATTTTTTCTTGTTTTGCTGGACGTCCAGCTGGAAAACGTTTACTACCTCTTGTTAATGCTAATGGACGCCTAGCAATTGATGTGGGTTGAACTTTAATTGTAGCTCCAGACCTTCTACGAAGTGGTACTGATGACGCTCCTGCAGTGTGTAAAAATGATTCCCACATTCCTACTGATGTAATTTTTTTTAAACGGCTCTCAATCATTTTTAGACCTGATTTAGAAGAACAATATTTCTCATCTAAATCTGTCATTAATGAAATTATGTTTTTCATTGATACATTTTCACTTGCTGTTGTTTGTAAACTTTGTGATGCATTATCATTATTAATTATGACAGGTAATGTTTCTTCTTCTTCCACAGTATTAGATTGAACATCAATAGTCGATTCTATATAATTATTAGTACTAGTATATTGCTTACAAGAATCATTGGGTAAAAAGGATTCAAAGAAAGACATTGGCAGAGATTTATCGCCTTGAGCAAGAACTGAAATATTATATTTATCTTCTGCTGTGACTGGAGGGAAATTTTTTGATACAACATCATAATATGAGTAAACAGCACATTGGTGAATACAAAATGATCCAAATTGTCCTTCAAAACATGAGCAAATTCCTACACTTGTATTTATTTCATAAGTTTTATCATCAGAAGTTGTAACTTTATATTCAATTTCTGAAATTTGAATTACATCATCTTGTTTAATTGTATTGGCTTTTTTAGATTGTGTCTGAAGAAAAAGTCTAGCCTTACAATTTCTTGAGTTTGCAAATTCTCTAAATCTGCGACAGTAATAATCTTCCAAAACTGTACAAGCAAAATCAATTAATGATATAACATTATATGCCTTCACTCTTGATAGAACTATATCCTTGAAAATCCTAACAGTTATTTCAGAAAAGTTATTTGTTTGGTGTCCATTGATAGTAGCATCCCTCCAAGCAAGACACCATTTTGATCGGAATTCCCAGTATGTGCTAATATATTTATTCCAATTTTCATAGTTTGAACTTATTGTATTTAAATATGCTTGTTCAGCTTTTTCAATAGTATCAGCATACAAGGTC